CTTGTTTTAAAGATAACTGGGGTGGTGGATCAAAATAGATTTCTCTCTCCCCTCTTTTTGCCAGATAGAAGGATCTCTAAATGTCTGGATTCTGCTGATCCTGTCAGACCCGGAGGATGAGGGCAGCCCTGCACACCTTGCACACCTTGCACACCTTGCACACCATTCCTCTGTGCTGCAGTTTCTGCTTGGGGCACTCAGCTTGTGCCTGGCTGTGACAAAAGACTGTGGGCCTGGTGTTTGTAGTATTTTCACTTTAAAACCCAGTGCTGGAAGGGGAAGAGAAGGGTTATTTCCTCGGGGCAGATCAATCTCCCCGTGTGGCATTGCCTTCAAGCTGCTGGGTGCTTCGGCTTGTGTTGTTTTCCCCCCGGTGCTCTGTCTAATCCAAATCTTCCCCGATTGAAGTCAGAAACGCCTCAGTTAAATATATCTGACATGAGAAGTGGATTGGAATTAAGCAGCTCTAAGTACTATTTAATAAATAGGCTTGCTTATCATCTTCAATATGGCAACTTGAAATGGTTTTTAATCCTTTAGTTTACCTGCTCAGAAATCTGTGTTAAATATTCTGTGCTCCCAGGTTGGCAGTGCTCAGCATCACCTGCTTCAGACACACTCTGCCACCTTTTCTTTGAAGGAGCCCTGCTGGCTTAGGAGGGACTGACAGCTCCTCTCAGAGCACTTTCCTGCTAAGTCTTCTCCTGTCCAAGTTAAATGAACTTGATGTGTTTTGAAAACCTGGACTGATTTTTCTTTTTCTTTGTCATTCTCTAGAACAGCTCAGTGTGAGTTGCATTTCATCGGGGGCTTTTGAGATGTGGGCAGGAGTGTGAGTGCTCTCCACCCATCTAAAACCTCATATCTGGGATGTTTATCTGGTGGCTGTTTAGGTGTTTATCAGTTTAATAATTAAATAATTTGATTTGAAAAGAACCTTCAAGACTCTCTTGTTCCACAGCTTCCCTAGACCAGGTTGCTCCAGGCAGAATCTCCAGCACAAAAGATGCCAAGTTTTGTTTTCTGGGAAGCAACAGTGACTGGGAGTTCAAAGCAAACACCTTGATAGCTTCAGGTGGGTGTGAGTTTTTGGTCATTTTAAACTTCAGGGCTAATTCAAATAACCTCCAAGTCTCATGTTTCACTATTCTCTTTCCTGCCAGTTTGGAACCAATTATAATGTATCACCTTTCAGGAAGATCACCAGCTTATTTGGAGCTGTTAAGATAAGGTAGCCGAGGTTTAATTGGTTTGTAATGATGAAAGAGTCACGAACTGTCTGGGAATGAGGAAGAGAACAAGCAAATGGGATTTGAGTCTGAGGGGGCAAATGAAGGCCTGCCAAGGCAAGGGAGCAGGGTGAGGGCTGGATGCTGGTGTGGGACCAGGCTGCCAAAAAAGCTGACTTGGTTTCCAGTGATGGTTTGCATGAGAGGCAAGGGCAGCCCTGGGTGCTGGAAAGGGTTCCTGGGGCAGCTCCTGCTCAGGGGCTGCTCTGTCGTGGCTGTGCTCGACTCCTGCTGATGCCTTGGGAAGGCTGAGCTAGAACAGAGACTGGACAGAGCTAAAGAATAAAGCAGGGGTTTATTAGAAGGCCTCAATGGATGCACCTTGGGCAGCACAAGAGCCCAGCCATGGCTGCACCCAAGATGAACCAAAATGGTCACAAAATGCATGAGTGCTCATGAGGTCTCACACTTTGATCAGTTCTGCTCCATTTAGATATTGGAGTTAATTGTCCAATCACAACTTTAGGTTATGAAGTCCCATCCTTCTTGTTTTTCTCTCTTCAGCCCACATTGTTTGTGCTCTTGGGCCTGAAATTTGAATCATTTGTCCTTGGTCCCCAGCTAGAGAAAGAATTGTTTTATCTCCCTACTCTGTGAAGGGAGTTCACCATCCCCTAATATGAAGCTCAGAAGTATTCACTAAAGCAGCACAGAATCTGAAAAATACAAAAGCTAAAACCTGAGGCATCAGTGCCATCAGGCCACGTCCTGTGGTGCTCCTGCCCTGCTCCCATGGCCCAACAGCTCTGGGTGAGAGTTCCAGTCTGGCCTCTTGACAAGCCAGAAGAGTCCATGGTGTCCCCATGGGCCAGCTCAGCTTCCCACATCGCTCCTTTGCTGGTAGCTGGGAAAGCTGTTTGAGCTTTTGGCTTGCTCAGGGGGATGCTCATCACCCTGAGCCCTCAGTGCAGCTCAGCCCCTCGTGTCTGGGTGAGGAGTCCCAGCACATTCCCAGTGGGAAGCGAGCCAGGAGGGTCTCTGGGTCCAGCTTTCAGTGTTCCATGTGGGCTCCAAGCCATGCCTGTGGTGTGATCAGCACCTGCTCTGGCAGCTGAGCTGATCTCAGTGCGTTTGCCATAAGATGAAGAAAAGACATTAAAAAGTCCTGCATTTTCCATAAAATGAAGAAAAGACATTAAAAAGTCCCTGAAGCACTGGAGTTTTTTTCCCCTTCTGTTCAGGCTTGAGGACAAAAGCAGAGAGCAGTTCAAGAGACTGACCTGGTTGCTGTTCAATTCCTGTTGAATAGGAAGGTGCTGATATTTCTTTTGGAGTCTATTTTAGAGTCTCCCCACTGTTTATGCAGGTAGGATTTTTTCTTTTCCAGCTAAACTGTTTTCCCATGACTGTGATTGCTTTTTAATTGGGCTGCAGCTGGTGCTGGATTTGTGCTGAGTTGGAGACTGAATTACATCTTTGGAAATAGCAATTTTTTTTTGTTTTTTTTCTTTTTTCCTTTCAAAATTCAGTCAGGATGGCTGGGCTTCTTGCTTGAGGGTACCAAGAGCTCTGGCCTTGCTTCTGGCTGACAACCCCCAGTATCTGGGGCTGCAGAGCTGTGCCAGGGAGTTGGTGGCAGCAGCCTTGGCTGTGTCCTGTGGACTCTGTTCAGTTCCCATCACTCCTGGCTGCAGATCTGAGCAGGTTTTGCAGCTCAACAATCCCCAAGGGAGGCATGGTTTGACACCAAGCAGGATATTTCATGATAATTCAGCTCCTCTTCTGTAAACCCACTTGATTTGTAAGCTCCCAAACAAAGGATGCTGCTCCTGATGGACACGTGCAGGAGGTGCTCACGAGGGAGAGGTGGGAATGGCAAAGTCTGGTTTTTCAAACTAGACACCCTCCAGCTAAAAATCCACTTGATTGATGTGTGTTTCATTGAGCTACTTAGTGTAGAGCAGCTTGTTATTGTCTTTTCAACTGTGCAAATTTGAATAGAGACAGTGCTAATGACGAATCATTATTATACTATAAATAAAACATTATCCAGATTATGCTGGTCAACAGAGCATAAAACAAATAGCAAATTCTAATATCCTTGAATTACAATTTAAAAAGAAAAGCAGCACAGGATGCTGATCTGCATGGAAGCTTGGTTGCTGTGAGAGTTTTTCCAGTTGCATCAGGATCATCCAGGGGTTTGCTCATTTGCAGATTCACCCTAAAAAGCAAATGTGTACCCCAGAAACCTGAAGGTCCAGAGGACAAAATTCTTCAGGGTGAAGAGAAGAAAAAACCCTCAAGTTGTTACTTCCTTCTTTAAGTTGGAATGATTATAAAAACATGGATGTGCTTGGTTTCTGCAGCTCTGCACAGAGTGCTGGCTAAAGAAAAGATGAGGCTTTTCATGTTTGCCATGAATGAGATTTTTATTGGAAATTTTTAATGTTCTCCCCATTGGGTGGGGAGAACAATAAGAAAGGCACTTAGCAAGAAGTTTATATATTTAATATGAACTCCCCAGGAATGTGGTCACAGCCCCAAACCTGCCAGAGTTCAGGAAGTGCTTCAGGCACAAGGGGGGATTTTTGGGGTGTTCTGTGCAGGGCCAGGAGCTGGACTCAGTGATCCCTGTGGGACCTTTCCACCTCGGGATATTCCATGATTCTGTGACATTTTCACTGATATAAATGTATGCTATGATAGTTTTACATGATATAAATCTGTCCTGTGGAGATTGGGATTAAATAAAGGCTGTATATTAAAAACTTCTAGATTAAGTTGCTGCAATCATAAATTGTCATGGCCCACTCAAGACACTTTTAAAAATGGTATTTAATCATTCAAGTGTCAAAATCCTTTGAATAAGATCCATAATAGGAACAATTTGAAACTTGTCTGAAACAGTCACCTGCTACACAGGAAAATGTTTTTAAAAACACGGCCTGTCTGTGTGAAATGAAATCACATTTATTTCTGTTTACATGGGCAGCATGACATCTGACCTAATCAAGCCTGTCATCATGGCATTGTATTTTGCTTACTCTGCTGGGTGTAAATAATTTCTTCTTAAGCAGATTTTGACTGCAGTAAGAATGTAACTGCCTTTTTTTTTTTTTTTTTACTGTGATGTTTTCAAAATTGACCTGAAAGAAAAACCAACCACTGCTTTTAGGCTGATTCATAGATTATTGTGGTTGGAAGAAGAGTGGTGGGGGCTTGTTGGGTGTGATGGGGTTTGGTACCACAGCTCCCTCCCTCTTCTCCAGGCTGTTTCCCTGTGCCAGGGCTCCATGGAGGAGACTGGGGTCAGATTTTCTCCCATTCCTCAGCCTGGGAAGTGCCACAGCCGGAGAGGAGGAGAATCCAGCTCCCCTTTTGATGAGGAACTGAGCAAGGGCTGAATCAGCAGCGAGCTGCCTTCTCTCCCAGCCTGTTCCTGCTTGGGAATGTTGTCCAATTTAAACTTTCCCCTTCATTTTAATGTACCTGGTGCAATTATTGAACAGTTAAGGGTTGTCTTAGCCAAAACATGTGCTTCATTTCTCAAGTCTCATGGAATGCTGCTGAACCTACTCTGCCTGGGCTTGTGCACAGTTCACTACAGCACACATTGAAATATCTCCTAGAAAAACAAATTCCAGCTGGGCTAAAGTGTTCAGAGAGAAGATATGTTGAGATGTGAGATGTTGCTGTGCCTTAGTTTTTTGCTTTGTCCCTTCATACATACAACATCTAAAACCAAACATCAAACGGGCCACAAGCAAGTGCCAGATTTAATAAACTCTCTTTATTTACATACAAATACATGTACACATATGTTCTGTATATGTACACATATTTAAGTGTATATACATACATGGTTTCCACATACTCTACAATAAATAGCATGTAGGGTTTTCTTTTTAATTGCCTACAGTGCTGAGTAAAAATACATGGCAATAAAATCATGGCTTACAGCTAAGTTACAAAAGCACCAAGCACTGAACTCGTAGCAATAAATCCAAGCTCATGTACAGCTGGGGCAAGGACACGCTATACAGAATACAAAGAGACCAACTTGTAGGAATTGACAGGATTAGGCAAACTAAAAAACATCATTATAGACCAGGAGAGACTCTGTATGAAATAAGATGAAGGAAAACATTTAGATTATTGATCAAACTAAACCACACATTTAAATTTGTCACCTAAAGAGAAAAACAAATCACCCAGTTACTCGTATATTTTTAACAGAGTAATTTTTTTGTGTGAGTCTTTACCAAGGAAATCAGAATTACTCTCATGAGTGAGTCCTTCTGAGCTGCCACAGTCACTTGTGTGTGTGCACATCACCAAACAGTATTTCAATAGAGCTTTATTTAAGCTGTGTGTAACTCCTTGAACCCTGTGTGCGAGCCTGACTGAGGCAATCAGCACTTCCCCAGGCAGCTCCTTCCACAGGACCTGTGACACTGAGCTGTCACCGAGGAGCAGGAGAGCAAACTGGCAGCAGCAGCAGCAGCAGATCAGTACCCAGAGCAAGCACAGGGGTGATGCTGGAGCTGCATGGCCAGAGCCGACCATGGGCCACAGCTGGACCCTCCCTTGCTGCAGCTGCACTGCAGGGAGCTGCTGCTGCTCTAGGGGAAAGCCTGGCTGGGTATTTATATTAAAATTTCAAACCTGCTTTATGAGGTGAAGCTGCATAGATTTTTGTTCTCTCTCTTTGTCATGGCTGATACTTTGACTTGAGGTGTGCAGTGCAGTGCTAAGGGAACAACGGGTGCCAAGAAGGAGAAAGCTGCTGTTCAGGTATCATCCTTGTGCTGTGATGTGTTTTCCTTGCTGCACTTTAATGCTCAGGGGCTGGATAGCAAAATAATTGCTTCCTTTTCCTGGAAGCCAGCCCCTGCTACAGTTCAGAGAATCACAGAATGGGTTGGGTTGGAATGAATCTCAAAGATCATCCAGTTCCAACCCCCTGCCATGGGTGGAGGCACCTTCCATGAGACCAGGTTGACTTAAACAGAGATTATCTTTCCTCTAGGTATTTACAGATTCTCTGTTGCTGCAAAATTAATACTGGGGTGTGTGTGCTTGTGTGAATGTGTGAGAGGAATCAAACCCAGTGGTGGGCAGGGGAGGAAGGGATGTATACCACATGTGCACACCTGTGGGGTCTAATAAACTGAAGCTCATTGAGGTCTAATTACATCATTGCATATCCATGGGTAGGGAGTCTGAAGGAAGAACTACTCACTCTTCACTTCAATGAACACCTACAGCTACTACAACTCATAAAAATGCAGATTTCTCTCCTTTTTTATCAAAGAATTAGCACTTCCTCTTAGTATTTGGACTGGACTACTTGAGCCCTCTGTGTAACATTCTTTATGAAAGCAGTGGGAGAGCTGTTTATTTGAAGTTTGGGTACGAGCAGCTTTGAGGCTGCTCCATCACTTGTTCATTCTATTGTCACCTATAGTTCCCAATGAGAAACAGAACCTGCTAAGTGCTGTCCACTTCAAATAAAACACAACCTCTCTGCCATGGAGTTGTTCAAAAAAGTGATTTTTAAGATCAATGTTCATTCCAGACATAATTTAGTTTGATTCTTGCCACGTGCCTGCCTGGCAGTTCCCTTACGGACGATGAGAGAGCTGAAACGCGACGGCCTCAAAGGAAAACGATCGTTACATAAACAGCTGGATTAGTTACGATACAGCACGAACACAGCTACGGTTTTTAGAGACTTTTTAACCTGACAGGAAACCACATTCCTCCCCAGAAGGCTGATGGGAATGCTCGTTTCTGTGGGATGGGGATCCCCAGGCCGGCTCAGCCGGAGGACAGGTAGGGCGTCTCGCTGTGGTAGTTGTAGTCGGGACAGACCTTCTGCACCAGTTTGTAATCTACGCTGTAGAACGCGATGTAAATGCAGATGACTTTGAAGGGTTTGGAACACAACCAGGAGACATGGCTTTGGGTCTGCTCTTGGTAGCAGATCTTGGAAGGGTCAAAGTTGCACAGGGCAGTTTTTTTGGCGCGGTCTGTTTTCTCGTACTCGATGCGGCAGTTGAAGGACTTGGACTCCTTGGTCTCCAGCGTGGACTGTGGAGATGGCTCAAACTCCACCACCTTGGAGGGCGGCACCAGGCTGACAGAAACATTCCCCAGGCCCGTGGAGTTGTGTCGGAAATAAACGCTGAAGGTTCCGTTGCCGTGATCGACGATTTTCCCCGTGATCAGCAGGTTCAGCTTTACAGTTTTGATGTTGGAGTGGAAGTCACCCCACCCAAACATTTTCTTGAATTTCCCAGTTTTCACTATAGGTCTGCGCTTAGTTCGTGCCAGAGATTCCTGAACCTCCGTGATGTTGGACAACCAATCCCAAAAGTTTTCTATGCTGTCCGAGTAGGACACCTGGCCGTGTTTCAGCACTGGGGAGGGTTTGACAAAGAGCCGTAGGGGGTTGATGATCCTGGAGTGGACCACGTTGTCAACCAGTGTCTCTGCAGCATCCTTGTCCTCCCAGTCCAGCACCTCCGCGGCCTGCACCACCCGGCTGGTGTCACAGAACACCTGCTCCAAACAGAGACAGAGAGCAGGGTCAAGGGGGGGGAAGAAACAGCCAAGGCACAGAAGGAGACATTGATATTTAGTTTTATACCCATAGGGTCTGAATCTGTCACCTGGACCACTGTAATGAGGAATTTCTACTGCTCTATGAGAGTTCAAGGATTTAACTCAAAATAGCTCAGGGAAGATGCAAAAATCTCAATAGGAGACATCCATGGGGACTCCTGTCCAACCTTTGGACAAGATGATGGCTGTGATGTGCAAGAGCAGGTGCCCCATGCTCACAGATTTGTTAGATGAATACCTGACTGGGGAAAATGGAAATCCTGAAGACCCCACTGCTAAAAGATGGAGTGAAATAGAACTGCACAAATTTCCAGTCCCTTCCTTTTTCTCCCCACAACCTTCCAGCAGGTTTAGGCTTAAAATCCTGTTCTGTTGGTGCAATTGTCTCCTAAACCGTTTCTTGTACATTTGTCTTTTCTGGTGTTGCTTTTTCCATTTGATCCAAACCTAGTTTGCACATTTGTGCCCCTAGTTGGACACAGTGACCGTGGCCCTGTTTTGGTGTGCTGGTTTCAGCTGCACAGCTGCCTGTGCTTACCAAGGCTCAGCCTTCCAGCAGTGCTGAGCACTCCCAGCCACACAGCACAGCTCAGTTTTAGGATCCGTGACAAGGCCAAGCTGAGTCTGCAATCAGAAAGCAAAACCTCCTTCTGGAAGTGACAGAATGGCCTTAAGGTTTCAGAGTCAAACACACAGGTCTCAGTAAAATTTCCAACTCAGTGCAGACACATTTCCCAGGTGTTTCCCTGCTCTCTCTGGCAGAGAAGTCCTGTTGGAAATGCAGAACTCCAGTGTATGATCCAAAGGTCAGAAGGAAGATCTGTGTTTCAACAGGATAGAAATGATCATCTGACTTTTTAGGTCCTTTAGATCTTGAGTAAATCTTTGGAGAAGCTTTTTGTAGAATGCCTTCGGAGAAGGTGTTTTTAGGGTCTATTCTGTTTAGAACTGCCTTACACAGTCCTCCTAATGTGCAAAAGAAAAACTTTTTCAGCTGCATCTATTTCTACAAAATGTGTGAACAGAACAAAGAGATGTTTAAAATGGGAAGAAGAAAGGACACTGTTGTCCTGCCTGTGTCCCCAGTGACAAACTGCTGCTGGCCAAATGCTGCTCTTGCTTCATCACTGATCCCACAATTCTGGGATCCAGGTGGATCCCAGTATAACTAATGCAGGGATGGGATTTTCACTCTCCAGCAGCAACATTACCAGGTGGAAGTTTGCCTAAAGCAGCCAAAGTATGAAGTGCAGATGTGGAATGTGTGCGATGGAATTTTGTGCTTCGTGTCTCACGAGGGAAACCTCAGTGCTGGGCTTGCTTTTCCCTCTGCTCCTGATCCCAAAGGGTCTCCTGCACCTCTGGTTCCTTACAGGGCTCTGTTTTTACAATATCCAGCTGTTATTTCTATAAATTGCAATTTTTCATTTCATCCTCTGGCAAAGATTAGAAACTCCAAAGCCCTTAATCTTCACTGGGGCCTGTTCTGCAGCAATAGGCTCCAAACCAGAGCCCAAACCCACTACCACGTGTCCTTCCTGATCACCCCTAATGCGTGATTATGATGAAATGTGGAACAGCAGCAATATTCACAGCTTGAATGTTGAAAGGTGACCAACATTATTGCTAAATCATAAAATCACAGAATGGTCTGGGCTGGAAGGGATCTTAAAGATCATTCATTCCAAACCCCACCTTCCAGCCTGCCTTGAACAATTTCAGGAACCTGTTCCAGTGCCTCATCGCCCTCACAGTAAAGAATTTCTTCCTAATAACTAATCTAAAGCTCCTTCAGCTTAAGGCCATTCCACTTGTCCTATCACTTATTTTTCACTAGAAATAAATCCACGGCTGGGTGGAAATGCAGTGGGCCAGGTGTGTCTCTGCAAAAATACCTTATTTCCTTCTTCAGATTAAAAGTGGAGGAAGAAAAGACAACAGTGATCACTCTCAGCCCCAGACCTTGTATGTCAACTTTCTGCCTCTATCTTATATTTTTTTTATGGCTGAGCTAGGAACCTGAGGAAATAGGAGATTCTAATGGAAACAGTGACAGATGCTGATCTGTACCAGCCCAAATAGCACTGTCATAATGATGCTGGGGGAAACATCACTTCTGCTGTGATGGAAAGTTCCTGGTGAAGCTCTGTCATGTTTATGAGAGGCTCTTCAGCCACTGCTAAGCCTGTCAGCAGCCCAGGATCAGCTGTGTGATGCTGAGATCGCTGGCCATCCCCACCGGCAGGGAAATCACTCCCCTGCTGCAGAGATTGACTCTGCTCACACGAAGCAAGCAGTGCTGCACACATTCACCCATCCCCAACCTGACCTGGGGCCTTGAGAAGCACAAAAAAGAGACTTTTCTGCTGCATTCCTAGATTACAGCTGGGCCCAGGGGCCTGGCAGTGCTGGAACACCAGAAACTTTCCTCATTTGCACAGCTAAATGAAATGCAATTTAAAATGCTAATGACCATTCAAACCATGGGCACCTACAGCTGGTATTGCTGTGAGCAACAGAGTCAGAGGGAAAAGGGGTTGGATATTTTAAGGTGAAATAGATGGAAAGAAAGCTGTTTGGTTCACAGGGGATTCTGGCTTTGCTGTGCCTGCACCCAGCTCTGAGTGTCCTCTGGCAAGGGCACAGGAACACCCTCAAACATCCTTCTGGGCTCCTTGTCTTCTGCAATGCTTATTGAAACCCTGCAGTGGCTCTTTGGCTTCTCTCCCCTGGCCTTTTATGAGGAGATGCAGAGGACATTGAACCATGAGCTCGCTGTATGTCTCTTCTGGGGGCTCTCACACCAGATGAGATGGCAGAGTGCTGCTTTCCCAGGGGTGCCTTGCTGAAAGCTCTGATATAAAAGAAGAAATATGTGGGTATAGGGCTGGGGATGGCTGCAGGGTGGGAAACATTAACACATGCTGAAGCCAGGCAGGTTTGCCACATCAATAACGTATCAGAGCACAAGTATTTCAAGGCCATGATGGTGAAATCACAGAATTGCACCTTGCTAGAGTACTGCTACTTTTATTTATGTAGTTGTTACACCAAATGAGGTTTACTCATGGGGTGACGAAACACGCCCCTGAAGCTGCAGTGACCTGGGCCATTTCATGTGGTAACAGGACAGCTTTCATAACACACGAACATGAAATCAGTGATAAATTGAATTATAAGGAAGCAATGCCCCTGTTTAAGGCCCAGACAGCAATCCCTCGGCAGAAAGCTGTACCTTACATACAGCTTGAGCTTACTCAAACTTACTTTGATTGAGTAGTTTTTCCTCCTCATTTTTGATGTATTTTGCAAGGCTGTGGGATTCTCCAGTCTTGCACAGCCTTAATTCTTGACTCTGCTCCATCCTAGTGCTGTCTTGTACCACTAATTTCATTACAGGGGTGAGATTCAGGAGCTGACAGAATTTCTGCCAGCACAGAGGGCTGCAGGGAAGCCCTCATGGCTCAGGGTGGTAAATTGTTGTGTTTTGCAAATATTCAGTAAAAAAAAAGGAGCTTAACAAAGAACTGCCTGGTTCTGCTCAGTGCCTGCCTCAGCAGCAGGAACGAGGGGACACTGCTCAGAGATGTGAATGGTGTTTGTGCTTTTGTAATGTAAAACCTTTGTGGAGTGCAGATTTTTTTCCTGTTTTGAAAAAAGCTTTCTGCAGAATAAGAGAACCCAACTCTAACACTTGTTTTTTCCCAAGGCCCTTCCCTCACTGGCTGCATTTTGCTGTTAGTGAGGAAGGGCCCATGGCTTTGTTCAGCTGTTTATTCACATTGGTTAGCAATTTCCGGGCAATAAAAAAATCTGTATTAAAAGAATGCAGCACATGCTGGAAAAAACAACTTCCTCAGCATCTTTCCATTTCACTATAATGCATCACTATAGTGAAAAATATTGCTGGTAGGGTATTTGAAAAATACCAGCTTAGGGAAGTTAGTGTATCCATTTAAACAGATGGCTATTGCTGGAGTTCTCCTCTGCTGCACCAGTGTTTTCCCATTCCCTCCAAACCATCCATTTCCAAACAGAAATCACCTAATCTTTTTCCTTACTACAGTACTACAGAGGCTGTAAAATGGCACCCAGTTACCCTAAAATTCCCATTTGCCTGTAGATATTTTCCAGTAAGAAACACAACCTTGGCCCCATGCACAGCGCGTCTTGCTGTTTTCTTTCGCTGCATAAACGACAAGAACAGCTCAAATCAGTGCAGTGTGGTTTATATTTATGGAGTTTTAAACTTCAAACCTTTGCTTCTTCCTCTAAAAGATGGTGACTGCTCTTCACACTCTCCCCCTTCCATGCATGATCCTGATCAGAGCAGCACAGGGTTAAATAACATTCCCTGTGAGCTATTTTTGAGAAATGAGCTGACACTGATGAAACACTGGTATCAGTAAATGCTCTGTTTTCTCCATTTGCCCAAACTTGGGTTCATCTGGAACTCACTCCAGTGCCTTTCTCTGTGGGCAAGGCACTAAATAAAAGCAGGTGTCCCCATGCAAGAGTTAATAGTGCTGGTGCTTTGGGAATTTTATCCAGGTTATTCATCAATCACCAGCAATCATTCCTTTGGCTTCGCCCCTGCCAGGAATAATTTAAAAACTCTCAGCAATTAGCTGGAATGAATTGGTCTGTTGGAATAAACAGCTCTGAAGCACCATTCTGCTGCTCACTGGGAGCTTTTTGTCCCACTGCTGGAGAGGAGGGGGTACCACCACTGCTCTAGCCCCCAGTTTCACCAGTGAAAAACTCACACTGGGGGAGGATTCCAGCGGTCTCCCCACTCTCTGCTGCTTCCATGCCCAAGTGTCCCATGGGTTTGCACTCGTGTCCCCTCTGCAGCAGCACAGGACACCTCTCTGGGTTCCCTCTGCTGATTTTGGATCCTCACAGGCCATGAGGTAACGTGGCCCCATCGAGTGGCTGCACAAAAGCCCCACTTTGAAGGGGGTGTGTGGCAGGGAAGAGAAATAACTCTGCTTTATCGGTTTGAAAATTCAGTGATTTCAACACATTTATCAAATTTTAAATAATTTATGTCTTGACAGGGCTTATCAATTTTGCAAAGCACACACATTAACCAGATACAATGATCTCATATTAGCTTTTTCAGCATCTTACACTGGAGCCCAGAAATATTAATAAAAACTCAGCCCGTCATCAATTAAATGGAAAAAACCATAAAATTGTGTTCCATTATAGTCTTTTAGTCCTTTTTTCCCCCCAAGAAAATGATGACGGGCTCCAATAATTCATCACAACAAGCTGAGCTTGAACTTTACTGATTATTAAATTTTTTTTTTTCAAAGACAGAGGCTGTGGAGGGTTTTATGGCTGCAGATGTGATTGCTGTCAGGAATGCTGTGAGGGATTTGGGAGCTAGGCAACATCTTTCAGCAGGACTGTGTGAGAGTGCCATGCTTCTTGTATCCAGCCACAACCTCATTTTTCAGGATGCAGGGGAGCTGCTCTGCAGTGAAGCAAAAAGGCAGAGTTGGAACAATCTGGTCTGGTGGAAGATGTCCCTGCCCATCCATGGCATGGGGTTGGAATGAGATGAGCTTTAAGATCCCTTCCAGCTCAAACCCTTCTGTGGTTCTCTAATCCACAAAACACTGAGCTGATGGTGGGGTGGAGGGATGTGAATATCCAGAAGAGAGGCTGAACCTTGTGGCTGAAGGTGCCCTCACTCCTCAGGCACCCAAAACGCCTTTCCAGGTTCTACAGCCTCGTCCTTGCTAAACTCTAAGTAAATAAACACTAGCAGGTCCTTGTGGTTGGTTTTCTCTCTTCTGGGGCAATGATCTGCTCTTCAAAACACTCTGGTGCAAAGATGAAATTAAGTCACAAATTCAGAGTTCACTTGCTTGATTTCTGTTTCATTTTGAACCTGATGCCACAGAGGGACTGTGGGGTTCAGTGTGCCAAATCCAGCAAGGATATCCATCATGGGGGGAATCTGCAGAGCTGGGAGTCAGGGGGACTGATCCCCAGTTGGACAGTGGCAGAGTACTCAGGCTTCTCAAAATCCCCCAGACAAGTCAGGGAGGTTACAATTAAGAAATCTTTAAATGCTATTGCAACCTGCTTTCACACAGGGAAGGTAGCCAGAAATCCCCTGTTCAATAACTAACAGAATTGGATTATTTTAGCAATTTTACCCAGCTTTGTGTAGTTAAAAACACAATGAGAAGATGCTTCAGCAGAAAAGAAAGCCTTCATGATTGAACCTTGCAGCCCATTAGATTTTTCTGCTTGTAAACAGAATCATTGAGGCTGGAAAAACCCTCTGAGACCACAGAGTACAACCAGTGACCAAGCACCATTTCAGTCAGCCCACTCCAGTGTCTAATCACCATTTCTGTGAAGAAAATTCTCCTGGTGTCAAACCTAATCCCCCCCTGGCACAGCTCAGACCACGACCTCTCAGCCACTCCTGGTGCTCCAGATCTTTCTCTGAACGTGCTTCAGCCCCTCACTGTCCTGAACTGAGGGGCCAGAACTGGACACAGTACTCGAGGTGTGGCCTCACAGTGCCCAGTCCCATGTCCTGCTGGCCATGCCATTCCTGACACAATTTCATTACATATTTTTAAAACAAAATTGACACTTCAAACTCTGTATCATATTTTACAGGGGGAAAAAACTCCACTTGAAAATTCTCCAATTTGTGCAAGCAAGCAAAATAGTATTTTACTAAAACAGCACTTCAGTAAAGAAACAAAACTGGGAGGAAGAAGCAGCAGAAGAAAAGAGTGAAAATTAAAAATAAAGCCTGCAAAGATTTCCTATTTCAAAAATGTGCCTTTTTCACAACCCTGACAAGTAGTTTTAGGTTATCTGAAGTGTTCCCTCCAGCTGCAATCGGATAAATTGCTTAGAGCATAGATTGCTTTTAAATCATATCCATGCATTGAATTGATCTACCTTTTTGCTGAGAGAACAGAAAATTTGTTCTGAGAAATGTTTCTTGCCAAAAAATCTGCACCAATTCTCTTCTTGAAGATTTTGACTCTTTGGGTTCCCCTCCCCCTGCCTTAAATCTCAATTAGAGATCTCTGAGATAAAAATTAAATCTTATTTGTATGTGTGTTGGGGAAAACTTTTTTTCTTAGATATCACTAAGTAGTTTTAGTTCTTCACTATATATGAGGCATTCTGGAAGGGTGGGGAAGTAACAGAAAAGTAAACCTTTCTGTGAAGGATCTGAAAAAGTCTTGTATAAAAATATCAAATTGAGATACAGTAGGTACAGAAAAGTTAGATTATCATTATTAGCACCAAATAACCCCCACTGATTCTTAAGTGGCTTTTTCATTACTCTGTGCATATTTTCAATATCCAGGCTGCATTCTCACAATCTATTTTGCACTGAGCTTTGCTGCTACTATGGACACATGTACACTTTTATGAGACTGAGATGTGCTTTCAGGGTGGAGATCTGGCATTAAGTCACTTTTAGGGCCATTTAGAAGACAATCCTATCCACCTGGAAATCCTGCGAGATGTGCCAGGTGTTTTCAATATACACTGAAGTTGTGCTGCTTGCAGGTGCAGCTCATGGAGTCATTTAGGTTGGAAAGGGCTGTAAAAAACATCGAGTCCAAGCACTGATCCAGCACTGCCAAGTCCCACAAACCCTGTCCCTAAAACCCACGGCAGCCTGCAGGACCAAAGCCCAGCAAAGGGAACAGGGACACTCAGCCCCTCTGCCAAGCCAGCACCTGCCCACCAGCCCTCTGCTGAACTTCACAGTTAATAATTTCCCATCCTGCTCATTTCCTTAATGCCTGGGAGATTTCACTCCACGTTTCAGGACCAGTTCATTAAAATCCTAATTTCAAGCAGTAATTATCTGTGTGTGAGCGCTGCTGCCCGTGGAAGCGGCGCCAGTGATGACACGCCCTCAGCTGTGGGAGACTTCCCAGCTGCTCCAGTCCTGGAAACTCAGGGCAGGAGACTTCCCAAATGCTCCAGTCCTGGAAACTCAGGGCAGGAGACTTCCCAGATGCTGCAGCCCTGGAAACTCAGGGCAGGAGACTTCCCAGATGCTGCAGCCCTGGAAACTCAGGGTAGGAGACTTCCCAGATGCTCCAGCCCTGGAAGGTCAGGGCAGGAGCCACCCTGGTGCTCAGCTGGAGCCCGGCTGGCCAAGATCTCAGGGGGGAAAATGTTTTCAGAATCACAGTTCACCATGAAGGCTGCTTTGTGTGGCAGGGAAAGCACGTGAATGGAAAACTGCTGTGTCTGTTAGAAATGAACCTGACTTTACTGAAGTTGTCATGAGGGGTTTTTATGCCTTGTAAAGTTTAAATTAAAAATCAATTATGGAAGAGCCCTTAATCTCCTCTC